AATTAGCATGAATCAAAGATAAAAATGTAAGACCTAAAAATACAAAACTCTTATAAGAAAAAATAGGCATAAATCTTTGTAACCTTGAATTAAGTAATGGTTTCTTTATTAAAAAAAAGGGGGGGGGGTACCCAAAGCACAAGCAACCAAAGAAAAAATGATACATTGGAATTAAGTTAGAATACTTCCTAATACCATACACAAATATTGATACATTGGAATTCATCAAAATTACAACTTTGTACTTCAAAGACACCATCAAGAAAGTGAAAGACAACCCACTGTTAGGAGAAAATTTTTGCAAGTCATGTATCTGATAAGGGACGCAAATCTGTAATATATAAAGAACTCTTACAACTCAATTATAAAAATATAAATGACCCAATTAAAAATAAGCACAGAATCTGAATAGACATTTCTCCAAAGAAGTTAAACAAATGGCCAATAAGCACCAGAAAAGATGCTCAATGTCATTATGCAACAGGGAAATGCAAATCAAAACCGCAAGGAAATAATGTAATGTTCCCAATGAAATGTATAAGTAGGTGAGTTGTAAGATATATGAATTATATCTCAATGAAACTACTTTAAAAAATACATAGTGAGATACAGCTTCACACCTACTAGGATAGCTAACATCAAAAAGTCAGATAATAGCAAGTGTTGACAAAAAGAAATTGGAAATTTCATAAATGCTGGTGAGCATGTACAGTGGTAAAGATGCTTTAGAAAACAGTCTGGTATTTCCTCAAAAGGTTAGAAAGAGCTACCGTATGTCCCAGCAGTCCCACTCCCAGATACTTGTATACCCAAGAGAAATTAAAATATACATTCACACAAAAGCATATACACAAATGTTCATAGAAATACTATTCACAATAGCCAGAAAGTAGAAACACCCCCAAATGACCATCTTTCCTTCATCGATGAATACATTAAAAAGTGTAGTATATTTATACATTGGAATATTATTCAGTCATAAAAAAGAATGGAGTATGAATACATGCTACAACATGTATGAGCCTTGAAAAACAATATATTAGGTGAAAGAAGCCAGGTACAAAAGACCACATGTTGCATAATTCCATTTATATGAAATTTCTAGAATAGAAAGTTGATCAGTGATTGCCTGGGCTTCAGAGGCTTTCAGAGGATGGGGGAGAGGGGTGCTAAAGAGTACAGGGTTTCTTTTGGGGGTAATGAAAGTGCTCTGATACTAATTGTAGTGATGGTTACACAATTCTATGAATATACACCTCCACCACCACAAACAGGGAAATCTGTACTTTAAATGGGTCGTTTGTATGGTATGTGAATTGTCTCAATTAACTTTTTTTTTTTAATTTGTTTATTTACTTATTTTTGGCTGTGCTGTATCTTCATTGCTACACAGGCCCCTATCCAGTTGCAGTGCCTGGGCTCCAGAGCATGTGGGCCTCAGCGGTTGCAGTTCACAGGCTCTGGAGCACCACGCAGGCCTCAGTTCACAGGCTCTGGAGCACCACGCGGGCCTCAGTTCACAGGCTCTGGAGCACAGGCTCAGTACTTGTGGCATGTGGGCTTAGCTGCTCCTCAGAGTGTAGAATCTTTTTGAACTGATGTCTCCTGCTTTAGCAAGCGAATTCTTTACCAATGAGCCAATGGGGAAAGCCCTCAATTAACTTTTAAAAATATAGTTGTAAGGGAAAAGAAATCAATGGTGCGGACAGGTTGCAGAAAATTCTAAATGCCAAGCTGAGGAGTGGTGACTGGATTCTCTAGGGCCAATTTTCTCAAAGTGTGTTTCATATGCCATCTGCATCAGAATAGCTACAAATACCAAGCCTGGCTCCACCCCCGAGACTGTAATTCAGAATGTATTGGATGGGATCAGTACTCCAGTTTGTAGGAAGCACCCCAGGGAGGCTGTAGCAGGTGGCCACAGCCCATTGTGGAAAAGTGTTGCTGTGACCCATCCTGCGGCCTCCAGACTCCTCCTGCTCCATTCTGCCCCACACATTGCTGCCAGATGAGCCTCTAAAAGGAGCACTGAGGTTGGGTCACCTCCTTGCTCAGAAACCCTCTATGTTCTCCCATTCCCTTGGCATGCGCTCCAATGGCTCTGGGCTGCCTGGTCCCCACCCACTTTTCCCAGCCTTCTCTCTCCTGACTCCCCATCTGTGTCTTTGATGTCAGCCACATTGGAATGGTCGTCATTCTCTGATCCCACTCTGCCAGTTCCTGCTAGGTGCCTCTGTCCAGGCTGTCCCATGTTCCAGAAAAGTCTTTCCTATACTTCCATCACATCTTTGCAATACAAACATTACCATGAGTCTTTCATTTTAATTGGCCAATCATCTGAAATTCACCACATAACCTTTCATAAACTTTTAGGCTATGTCATTCTGCTGCCTGTCAATCAGATAACGATACTCAAAGTGCTATGAGGGACATGTGCAGATCCACGGCATGGCCTGGAATGTGGGAGGAGCAAAGCCACCATGCCGGGAGCGTTGGAGCAGAGCCCCCAAGCATAGGATACAGGTCTGGAGGCAAGTTTGCCTGTGAGAGCAAACTTCGGGTGGCAGACTCTCCTGAGGAGTTCAGTGTCCTCCCTGGTGACCCAGCCATCAGGGGCATGCAGGAGTCACTGTCATATGGATAGGACCTGGGGGGTCCTGGCCACCACCAAGCCCAACAAGCCTTGGCAGCTCAGCTGGCATCGGCTGCTCCCAATAGCTGGAAACTGCTGGGTTGAATCCTTATCTCAAGTGGTGACCTTGAGCAAAAAGTCCCCCCACCTTATTGTCCACCCAATCACCTCATCCCGAAGCAGGAGAGAGAAGGCTGGAGAGCAAGTTCCAGTCTATTTGGTAATGAGCTCTTAAAAATAAAATGATTGTCAGATAATTATTTTACAGTGCAACAAGAGCCCCCTTGTAACCATTTCAGTAATTACATTAAGCCATTCTATTTGTGAGAAGCTAATAGGAAACAAACCATTAATTAGCATTTTGCCTTTCCTCCCACTGTCCCTTTCCCCTAGAGTTATTGGGGCCTCGCCCTGGGGCCAGAGAGTGGGAGTGCTACCCATGGGGGTGGAAAACATTAGGAGATACAAGGACCAACACTCGCTGGGAGGGAGGCAGGGAGAGTGATGATAGGCATCAGCGTCTTTTTGACTGGTATAACAGCTCCAGGACCTACCCTGGCCTAGTGCCCACCTGAGTGCTGCCCCGGATGGCTCAGTCATGGGGTCTGCTGTCGTGGGCCGGAGTGGAGCAGCCTCTGAGCAGCAAGCTGAGCCCGACGTGGGCATGTTCCCAGGGGCCTCAGAGCCTGTGGGTGGGGCGGGCACCTGGGCAAACAGAACTAAGAAACGGGCAGGAATGAATCAAGGACAGCTTAAATATGCAGAAATGCAACTCATACCTCTGGGCAAAAATAATCCCAAACAGAGTTATGTAATGATGGGAGGACTGTGTGAGGAGGGGTGAGGCTGCAAGGTGTAATATACATGGATTGGAGTGAATGAGGGAGAGAGACGGAGGATGAATCCATGGGAGGATCCTGGGGGATTTGACAGAAAAGCTCATGAAGCTGTTGTCTTTAGGGTGGGTGTGCACGTATGGACATGTGCATTTTGGGGAGGGAGCATCATTCTCTGTGGATCCCTGGAAGGTAGCTAGAAGAAGGCAGGTCTAAGTGGGGTGGAGTTCCAGGCCCACAGTGGCCTCAAGGCCACTCCACATGTGTGGGGTCCCTGATTCTGAAGTGGTAGGGACAGGAAAATGGCCAGAGGGCCCAGGTAGGGGTGGAGAGTGTGAAGTATCCTGGCTTCCCTTATACATCAGCATCTATCCTCCTATCCCCTGCTCACATCCCACTTCCAATCCTTTCTGCTAATTGGAATCTTCCCCTTCCTTTATCAGAAGTGCCCCTTTGACTGACCACCCCAGGTCACACTGACTGTCCCCAAGGAAATTCCAGGAATTTGTCTGATCCTCTCATAGGAGACTATCCATGCTGCTGTCCTATGCTGTGATTTTTGTCTGTCGGTGAAAGTATTATCTTCCCTCTAGACTGCGAACCCCTAAGGCCAGGGGTTCTGTGTGGTCCCTTTGTGTTCTGTGGTGCCCAGCACCATGCCCATCACAGAGCAGGTGCTGAGAAAGCAATGTCTGACTCCAGGGAGCAGACAGACGCAAAGCAGCGGAGACACAGAGGCTCTGGTGGAGACCCGCTTAGGCGGCCGAGCTTTTGAAGCCACTGGCCACAAGGTGAACCCCAGAGACTAGAGGCTGAGTGGGTGGTGTTGGACTGATTTGGGGGGCAGACTGTTTATAAAATTACATAAAGGAAGCTCTTGGCTGGACATCATTCAGAACCCAGAACAATGTAGGTAATTAGACAAAGGCTTGTGGTAGGCACTTCACTGACCACAGTTTTCAGAAGCCACCGCCTCAGAGACGGTGGGAGAGGGAGTGAGATTCACCAGAAGCCTGGGTGTGACTGGGACAGGGTGTCAGAAACAGATTCGGGGGTGAGGATGGGTGCAAGAGGGCTACTGAAGTCATCATTGACATCTCCCTCCTCACGGTTGTCATTGTCATGGTGGTGGGAGGATGAGGGTGAGTCAGTGCTGTGGTCTGCAGTCTTAGGAAGACGGCACAGAATTCTGTGGCATCCAATGGCCAGGGCAGGTGCTCAGAGCTCCTGAGGCCATGCAGGTGCGCACTGGTTCCCATGGGGATCCCTATACACACCCATGGGCTGGGCTTACAAGAGTAGAATTTTCCAGCAGCCAATGGTTGACCTTCTGAAGATAGGAGGGAGGCTGCTGTAGGGGCACGGAATGAAGTTCCCAGAGATGGGAACATATCTGGAGACTTAGCTCTTCTCTGAATGTTTATTGCTAGAATGGCCCTTGGAGAGCATTTCAGCTTCCCTTCCACAGACAAGCAGACATTGAGGCCCAAAAGGAAAATATGGCTTTCCCAGGAGCCACCAGGAAGAAAACTGGTCAGACTGAAAGGAGAACTCAGGTTTCCTGGCCTTCTCTTGATATGGCATCTACTTGGAATTTGTAGACCTTGCTTCTGAGTGAATTGTGGTATTCACAGTCCCAGGGTGCTCCAAGAGTCAAGAAGAGCCTAGAAGTTTTCATGGTTTTTATGGTTAGTGTGAGGACTTCCATAAGCTGTGAACAGGAGAAGAGAAGGAAAGGGGTGATTTGGGATAGGAAGAAGAAAGAGGACAGGGCCAGTGTTGGGTCTTCAGGATCCTTGAGACCCACCACGGCCACTGTGAAATTAGTGTCTGTGAAGCTGTCCTTTGGGAATCCCCAAGAGGGCTGAGTCTGACATGCAAACCAGCACCCAGACCAGAGCAGGGAGGCTGGGCTGTGGTCCCAACAGCAGCTAGGTTTGGGGTGGCAGGGCTGGGCTGGGCAGGGCTAGGCTAGGCAAGGCTAAGAGAGAGAGAAGAGAATTTTTTGCCTCCAGGCTCATAAATGCCTATATTGGGCAAGGCCCCTTGTTTCCTTGGGTGGTGACGAGGAGCCTCTCCAAATTTGCCAGCCTGGCTCAAATTGTCTCCCTCAACCTAGAAAGGGACTGCAACTTTCTAGATGAGCCCCTTCAGTCCTCAAGGGACTGGAAATAGACTCTGGCTCCTCCAGCCTGACCTCCCAGAGGGGATAGAGACATGTGAGCCTACTCTATCTAAGAAGGCTGGCTCCTCGTTCATTATCCATGCTGCACCAGAACAGGATCTGCAGGGTCAGGACAATTACTTCTGGGAACACTTACTTTCATAGGTTGCTGATCCATGCAGTCATCGTGTCCCCCAGATGGTGTAGACAGCAGCTAAGCCCTTGTGCGTGGTCTCCACAGTCCCCTGGCCGGCAAGTGAACCATTATGTCGTTATATAAATAAACTATGTACATTCACAGGCCTCGGTGTGTAAGTGCCAGTTATTATTATTGCTGTGTAATTACACAGTTAGCTTGAAGAAGGAGGCAAGCGGAAGGACTGAATCACTCCTCCACACACACACCCTGGGAAAGGTAGACAAGCTCCCCCATCTCACCCCGGGGAGAAGTGTGGCTCTGGGTCACACGAGATGAAGCACCAGTCTCCCAGGTGTTTCCAGGCAAACAGGCAATTTGCCCCCAGGCTGTGCCCTGGAAGAGGCTGACAGTAGGAATCCAGGACCTCCTGACCTTCCGCCATGGGGCCTGATACCCATACCCAAAGGCTTTGTGCCCGCCCCTGACTCCCTCCCTGCAGCAGAACAGAGGGGCTATAGGCAACAACTCAGGCTTCTGCAAGGCCAAGAGGACACAGAAGGAAAGAGCTGAGGGACAGCGTGCGGTTGGGAGAAGGGCCTGTGGACCAGTTACCTCCCTTCCCCATCATCAGACTGGTGCCACTCACCTGTCTGCTCCCAGCCGCTCCCCTCTTGCTGGCAAGCATGGAACCCTTAGGTTCCTCACATGGGGGGCCTCTCAAGATCTAGTCCAATCTCCTGCTTTCCAGATGGGAAGACAGGCCAGAGAGGGAAAAAGACCTGCCCAGGGGCACCCCAGCAGGTCCCCAGGGGACACTGGAAGTGGCAGCTGACTGGCCTCCCTGCAGCCCCATCCTTCATCATCTTGATCACCTCCCCCCACCACCCCTGGGGTGCTGCTCCAGTTTCTTACTTCCTCTCTCCATCCTGCTCGGAGCCCTGCCCAGGCCTGCCTGTTGCCTCACCTCTCCCCTGGTTTACTCTCCCATTGCTGCCTCGTCTTTCTTCTCCCGGCCCCTGGAGCCAGGGGAGTCTCCCCACCCTCTCTTTGGCCAGTGCTTTCTTCCCTCTCCTGGGCCCTCTCAGCTTGTCCTGGGGCTGCTCCTGGGTTGGGCTTGCCCCTTTCCTTCCGCCTCTCTCTCAAGGGGGGTTGAAAGGAAGGATGAACTCCTGGGCAGGGAGCATGAACTCTCTCAGGCTTTGGGACTGGGTGGGCAGGAAGCGGCTTCTAAATGATGGGCGTGGAAGCAGAGGTGCCCACCCAGAAGCCCCTGCAGCCAGGCCCAGCTCAGGCTCTGGACCAGCTGACCTGTGGTCCCCCCAGGGGCTGAGGGCACGGAGGCGGGTCACAAGGGCATGGTGGGAGGCGTGGCATTGTACCTTGGCACCATTGGCGCCGTCCTTTGAGCCTAGGGAGCTGTGGAAAGGCTGGGCCCTTAGAAATGTCCTCATTTCTAGGTCAGAAATGAACTTCCTCATCCACTTAGTGGAATCTCTATGAGAAAGGCCTGTGAGCCTTTTTTTTTTTTTCTGAGCAGAAACCAGCTCTTGTTCAGAACATCACAGTGTGAGAGGACTGGTTTGGAGCCTGGGTGGGATGGATGACTGATTTCAATCTCTCTGCAGTACCAGGGCTCAGGGGAGCTCATGTACTTCGGTGTAGATGTGAGTGTATGTGCTGAGCTGTGGTTTAGTCACTAAGTCGTGTCCAACTCTTTGAGACCCCATGGACTCTGGCCTGCCTGGCTTCTCTGTCCACAGGCTTTCCCAGACAAGAATACTTGAGTGGGTTACCATTTCCTACTCCAGGGGATCTTCCCAACCCAGGGGTCAAACTCACATCTCTTGCATTGGCAGGCAGATTCTTTACCACTGAGCCACCAGGGAAGCCCCAGTGTGCTGAATACACAGGCACAATTCGGAGGGGAATAGCCAGGGTTTACAGGGCTGAGTGTGGCTCCAGAGGCATTCTCACCTGCCAATGGAGTGCTTTTCTGCACTTGAGTCTCTTAATCCCTCCTTCTCCTAGGTTCTAGTGGTTTTCCCAGACTGGCAGTAGGGGTATGGTGGTGAGATCTGGGGACACTTATCCCCATTTTGTAGCCTGAGTCCCTGGTGATATGGAAACTGACCTGCTCAGAGGAACCTAATCCCAGGGGCAAACTGAGCCCAAGTCCAGGTGTCCTAACCTCTAACCCAGGCCCTTTTGTCTAGACCATGCAGCTCCCTTCTCTTTGGCTGCCTAGTTCTCTGCAGGCTGTGAGAGAGTTGGAGGCATGAGTGAGCTTGTGTGTGAGAGAAGAAATCGGTTGTGGTTTAGAGAGATGCTGAAGCTGCAGGCCCAGTGCAGCTTCTGAGAAAGGCACTCGCTGGGCTTGGTGGGCTGGGACTGGGCCCCCGGCGTTCCTCAGGGCACGCCTGGCTCCAGCCAGGATCCCACTGTCTCCCAGAGTCATGGGGTAATGGGCTCACCTCCAGGGTGACTGGGAAACTCTCCGGTCCTGCAGGGAGTGGCATATTGATCTGTTTCCTCCTCTGGCAGCCTCACTGGGTGGGGAGTGAGCAAGAGGAGCCTCGTGACTTTGAGGCACTAACATGGGGGTGGCTGAGAGTAAGGGTAGCTTCATCTTCTCCAAGGACTTTTAACTCCCATGCAAGGCTGGCTCAGGGATGGCTCAGGGGTGCCCTTTCTAGGGCTGGAGGTGGCCCTTAGGAAATGCAGCAGGCTCTCTCTGGCCTGAGATCACTGGACAACCTGCCAAGCAGTGAGTCCAAGGGGAGGGGTCTCAGTCCCCACTGAGACCCCGCTTCAAGAGAATGCTACCGGTAATCCTTTTGGAGCCCCAAAGTCTCAGGTGGAGGAAGGGGTAGTGTTTTTTCCCCCCTTTTCACTCAAAGGCATTTTTGCACATGACTCAAACAAGTCTAAACTTTGCTGAACTTCAAAGTTTGCCCATGGCACAGCCTCAAAGTGGAGGGGAAAATGTTAAAAAGAAAAAAAAGTTTGTAAGCCAGTTAAACATTGTGTTGTTGCTCCTTAAAGGAATTGAATTAACTTGTTATGTTACTATTAGTGTCCCATTGTGAAACCAGGGTGAGGGAAAGGCTCCTTCTCTGGGTGATTGGTCTCTCGGCCCATCCCCAGGTTCGGCTCGCTCCCGCATGAGGTTGTGCTGGGCATTGCACAACCTGTGGTAAGAGGAAGGAGTTCCCATGGCAACAGGTCTGGCTCCCAGGGTCATGTTCAGGCTCCTGGCAGGAGCCCTGGTCCAGACAGAAGGTGGCGGGGAGTGGTGTTCCTCTGCAAAATGGAGATAATGATAGACTTACTTCATAGTGTTGTGAGGGATTGAGTGAGTTGGTACTATAAATTTAGCTATTCTTACTACTACTCCTTTCACTGCCTTTTCCCCCTGGGTCAAGCCCCCCGCCTCTTACCTAACCCTCACAATATTTAGAGCCTGACACCTAGTCTAGCTGGCTGTATACAATAAAGGTAGTTAATGGTTGACCTGCTTAACAGGTTCCCTTGTCTCCATTCCCTTCCCCTGTCCATCCATCCTGCACACTCCATTCAGATTAATTTCTCTCATTCACATTATCTCAAAAAAATCTCTTTCTCAAAAAATTATCAGTGAATTCCTCTTATTTACAAAAACTTCAGCCTGGCAGTCAGGGCGCATCTCTGGCCCGAGCACAAGCAGAGAATGGGGAGGAGCACAGGCCCCTATGAAAGGGGCTGAGTCCTTGCTTTGCAGCGTCCCAGTCACATGACTTTGAATGAGTAATCTCATCATTCCTGGTCTTTGTTCCCTCTACTGTAAAGCAGGGATAATGACTGAACCTACCTCATGGGAGCGTTGTGGAGATTACAAGGAATAACGTGCATAACGTACTGAGTGCTGTGAGCTCTGGCGTACACTAGGTGTCCAGTAGTTTGCTGTGCTCATGACTCGTCACTCCCATAATTTTCTCACATCAACCTAGTCTGCTCACGGTACCTAGAGACTGCTTCCCTTAGGTCTTTGCTGTATCTCACCCATTGGAACCCCTCACCTGCACCCCATTGAAATCTCCCCACCTTGGAAGACCTTCTTCAAACCCCACTTCCCTCAGCAGCACACAAAGATACCCCAGCCTGTGAAGAGTGCTCATGCCTCTTGCAGTTGCCGTGGCATTGCTGACTCTGTATCATGCATCCATACTGAGCCATGAGAGCTCTGGCTGCAGGCTCCCACTTGGAGCCACATTGTCTTGCTGCTGCCTTTGGCCTTTGTTCACTAATGGGAAGGGGTCACTCATCTGACCCCAGGAAGGTACCCACCTCTTCCCATGTACTAGGTGCTCAGCTCCCAGCCCTACAGGAGCCCGACTCTAGCTGGGGAGACAGGTAGAAACTGAAAACAATACAAAGTGATGTGTTCTTCCAGAGATACATACACTAGGAAGCAGAGAATTGAACGATTGCCCTCTGCCACCCCTCACAAACTGCACTTAAAAACGTTTGGAAACGGACCATTGCTCTTAAGATAAACCCCAGTGCCATTACTGGGTCTGCAGTACCCTGTTTGATCTGATTCCTGCTTGCCTCCTCCCCAGGTTCCTTCTACATGTATGTCACCCCCACACTCCCCATGTACACACACACTTGCCTTACATGCAGATACACACACCCTATGCACACACTCCAATGCATACACCCATATACACACTCATACACACTCCTTAGCACACTGACTGTCTCTTGGTTTCGCAAAGGCACAAAAGCTCCTTCCTGCCCCATAACCAGTGGATGTACTGCTGCTTCTGCCAGGAATGCTCTTTCCCATCTCCCTTTAGTCCAGCCAACTCCACTCATTCCTTGAATCCCAGTTTAAATATTTCCTAGGGAAAGACTTCCCTCACTACAATCTGTTTCCTCTATCTACCAGTAGGTCAACATGTAGAAATATTTGTTGACCCGGTGTCTCCTCAGTATTTAACACAAATTTTAATTAATTCATTATTTGTGTAATTAGTTGTTTGTCCATCCTCACCAAGACTGTAATCTTCATGTAGGTAGGCCCATGTTTGGTTTGCTCACAGCCAATCTCCAGCACATCACCCTGGGCCTGAAACACAATAAGCCTTACTACATATTTGCTAAATGATTGAACAGAGAGGTTGGCCAGGCCAGGGCAGGCAGGGAGGAAGGGGGGAAGGTCATTCCTGGAAGAGAGATTAGTCCGTGCAAAGATATGGAGAGGAGACAATATGGTGTGTTTGATTTGTAAGTAAATGTGGCTGGGGTGCAGGATTAGAGGCTAGAAGGCTTTGAGCTGTGGCCCAATGGAATTGGGCTTTGGATATCAATCATGAGCTTAGGTTTAACCCAGAGGCAATAGAGAGCGAAGTGATCTGGTTTGTGTTTTAGCAGGCTCACTCTGATGGCCTTGAGGAGGTCAGAACTGAAAGGGCAAGACTTTGAGAAAAGAGACCAGAGTCTGTGGGACAGAAGGAGAGAGTAAACTGAGTCAGTGACCAGGTGGCTGGGGAGGGATGGGTGTGAATGCCACCTTGGAAGCTGAATGAATGGGTCGGGGTTTAGAGCAGGAGTGAGTGGACTCTGGCTCTGCCCCAGACCCCTGGCTGCCCACCTGTCAGAGAGCAGTGCTCCCTGAATTGGAGTGAGTGTTTCCTGCACCTCAGCTGGGATGTGGAAGGAAGGAGATCTCATACACTTGGTCTTCCCAGAGATGGCCCCCATGGGACAGGCTTGAGGTCCCAAGAGCCCTAGGACATCAGCCGTCTGCGTGGGCACCGCCTGCATCTTCTCTCTTTCTATGTCCACCCCCTCCCACTCCCCCAACACCGCCCCCCCCCCATTTGGCCTCAAGGTCTGGTCAGGCCCCCAGGCAGCCCTGGAGCCTCAGAGTCTCTGGCCTTGACCCAGAGTCCTAGCCTACTCCAGGCTCTCCTAAGGAGGACACTGTCCAGGGAAGCCCTGGGACCCTCTCCTGAAGAGGCAGAGGACTGGCTGGGATGATCTTTGACTCGGATTCCAGTTGGGATGGCTGTAAGGGGACACCTCAGGCAGCGAGGCAAACCGCAGGCTCAGGCTTTCTGGGAGCCAGAAGCGGGAGAGCCTCTGCTGTGTAACCCTTTCAGCACCACGCCCAGGCAGGAGGCAGGACGCTGTCCTTCCTGACACCGCTCGTCCTTTGGCTTGGGAGAGGTGTGCTGCCAGGGAGGGGGGATTCCAGTGTTTGAATTCAGTGTCTCTGGCCTTGAAAAAAAAGAGCCAGCTGGTGCCAGCAGCCTGGGCTGTCAGTGTGTGTGGGAGGGGACACTACCAGCCACCTGGGACACCCAGGTTTCTCTGACTGCAGCCTGCCCTGGCTGGGAGGCTCCTGGGCCACAGACCCCTGCAGCCAGGCACAAATGGTAGCTCCATAAAAGGTCTTCCCCCACGTTGGTGGTGTCCTGGGGGGTTACAACCAGACTTTCAGGGATGGGGAGGCACAGGCAAACTGCCCGTCGTAGGGTGGGCGAGCGGGCCGGTGGGGGGCACTGAAGCAGTGGAGACAGACTGCAGAAAGCAGGAGCTCTTCCGACTCCGCTGGGCTGGCCAGCGGGCTTCATTTCGGTCCCTTCCTGGGCCCTGCTCTTGCTGTCTTCCCCACCCCCATGCTGTCCTCAGCCTGGCCCTCGCTGGGGGATCTCTACTCCCCCTCCTCAATCCTGGCTCAGGCCCCCAGCCCTGCTCCAGCCCTCTCTCCTGGCGAGGAGGTCGTGGTGCTTCGTTTGGGCGCCGGTCCTGCCTCCCCCGGTGGGCCCCGGGAGGGGTCCAGGGCCAGACCCACAGCCCCCCGCAGCCGGGGCGAGTGGGGAGGGGGAGGATGAGGGCGTTGGGCGCGGGAGGGGAAGAGTTAAGGCTCGCCGCTCCCCTCCCCCGGAGGGTGTGACCGCCTATAAGAAAGGCGCCGCGCTCGGCACTGGGGCTGCAGGCGGCGGGGGCGCAGCGCGGCTGCGGAGAGCTCAGGCAGTCCCTGCCTCCCGCGCCTCTCACGCCTAGCATCGGTCCCACCGCCCGGGACCCCGGGGCAGAATGTCGGAGTCCAAGAGGAGGGGCCGAGGCCGAGACCCTAAGCACCGAGAGGGGAGGAAGCGGGAGCGCAAGCAGGAACTCCTACCCGGGGAGGAAGGTAGGGCACTACCTCGGCGCGCCCAGACACCCAGTTTCCCTGGGAGAAACCTGCCGCCGGCTCACCCGCCCCCAGCGCCGCGCGGGTGAGTCCGGGACTGGACGAGCGGCCGCTGAGGTGACAGGCACCCTGCCCGCGTGCAAGCGGGTCTCTGCCGCTGGGCAGGCAAGGGACCGCGCAACGGAACCGGTCGGTGCCTGGGAGCGCCTGTCCGCCGGCCGCCGCGTCTTGATGGAGGGGGCGGGAAAGAGGCGCGACTCGCGCGGACCGGCCTGCAGGAGAGAAGACCGCAGCTAGCAAAGTGGGACTGGGAGCGATGGCCGAAAGACCGCGGACAGGCAGACACTGAGGGGGCTGGCCCGGCTGCAGCGCTCAGGGAGCTGTCACTGCCTTCCCGTCCTCAAAGTGTGCTCAGGGCTAGCTCCCACCCATGTGCCACACCTCCAGGAGTTCTGCTCAGCCATTGGAGCAGGGGCAGCTGCGCCTGCCAGCTCTTGAGAAGGGATACCCTGTCCTGCAGAGCCCCAGGGAATAGAGAGCCACTGCTTCTGTGACAGATATTTCCTTTAGATTTGGACCAGGCATCGGGTAGTTGTCCCCCTTTGGCCTTCAGGAGAGTGACTCCCTTGGTTTCTGGGAGGTGAGAAGGTGCTCTCAGCAGAGCCTGTGCTGAGACCCACGTTGGTGGCCTCCCTGGGCAGCTGCAGGGTGAAGGAGGGGTCCCCATTCAGTGACTGGTCTTGGGCTTCTCGGGGCTGGGCTTAAGGTGTGCACGTCCTCCCCTCCAGGACTAGGCTTGCATTATCGGGGCGGTGTTGGGAAACCTCGGATTCTCGCTTCTTTTTTTTTTTTTTTGGTTCTTCAGGCCAGCATTTTGTTAATGCCTATTTTGTTCTAGTCAGCAGGCCAGGCATATTCAAATGGTTCATCTCCATTGACTGCTCATAATGAGCCTGGGGGTGGGCGACCCTAGCCCCATTTTACAGAGGGAGCAACTGAGGCTTACTGAGGTTGGAGTCACAAAGTAAGTTCCAGAGAAAGGTCTTGGGCTTCAAATCAGCATTCCTGAGCAATGATGCCCATTTTACTGGATCTCTGTCCCTCACTGGGGTTCCTGCCAGAGCTGCAACATAAAAATGTCATCAAAAGAACACTGGATTGGGAGATGGGAAGCTTCAAATGTGGTTGAGAATTTGGCCAAATTACTTTCCTTTTCTGAATTTCTGTGTATTGAGGGAGAAGGGGTAGCAAGGTAGCTTATGAGGTCTTTTTATTGGGAAGAGTCTAGGAGTTAAATACTGCCTTTAGCCCAGTAGAGAGAAAAAACTAAGGGAAGTTAAAGCCCAGTCTGTGTTCTCTTCTTGAGCAAATCCTCTTGGCCCATTTCTGCTGGACAGCTGTGTCTGGGAGTCCTCCGTAAGGTAATGGACATTGTGGGTCTGCCCTGATGGTACTAATGTGAAGCAGCTTAAGCTAGGTTCATGTCGTGTGGGATGAGCTACCATCTGAGATCTAAAGGAATTCAGGGTGCCTGTTTTCAGGATTAGAATTCATGGATTTGACTCACTGAGCCACCCTGCTTCTCCCCACCCTACTGTGCACATCCTAGTGTGGGCATCTTGGAAGGCTGGCTACATAAGGGCAAGATCAGGGTTGCAGGAGCTGAGCTGGTAGCAAGCCACATGGGCTTCAGCAGGTGGGAATCAGTAGTGCCAGAAACCAAGCAGCTGCAGAGCGTGGAGCATGCAAGCGTGGACCAAGTATTGGGGCAGAGGGGACAGAGGGCCATCAACAGGAGATGTCACAAGCCTCTCAATGATCTCTTCCAGCATCCTGTACTCCCATGAGAAAGTCTTTCTTGATGTCTAACTGTAATCTCTCCTGCTGTCTTTTCTTCTCTTGTTTCCTGCTTCCTGGTGGGTAGTTCTTCAGAAGGCTTCTTTCAAGAAATCGGCTGGTCAGCAGATACCAAGCAGACCCAAGGCCTGAACTAGAGGAATTTTGGAGACCTGGGACACTCTGGAACAGGGAGATCTTGGGGGAGGGTCATGCTCTGAAACAAGATAGCAGAAGAAACCATGTTGGCAAGAAGCAACAGTCTTAAATCCTTGCTATGTCACTGGGGAGGGCAGGGGTCTGATTTCCAACCCTGGAGGATGCGTGCTTAAGTCAACAGTGGTGTTCAGAGCTGGCGGCCTCCCTCACAACCGCCCTCCAGGCTCATCTGAGGCTGCAGGGTCCTCCTCTTTCATGTTTAGAGCTCCCCCGCCAGGGAGAACAGACACTGGGCGGCTGGAGAGGGGTCTTAGCCAGGGCAGAGCCACATTTGGTTGAAAGATTGGGAGGTAAAGATATGGAGAGTGTAAGCAAGTTATCCATTAAAATCTTCAGCTTAGACAGGGGAGGATATCTGGAGAGTGGGAGGGGAAAAGGAGGGAATGTTAATTAATTGGCTCCCCTGTCCCTGACTACACGTCCAGCAGCCCCCATCTGCTCCTTGGCAAATAGCAGAAGGGGTTCCCCTGTACTCAACAGACCCAGGTTAGGGTGGGGAAATGGACTTTTCCTCTGTCTCAGCTCAGGAGCATGGGCAGGGCTGAACTGCAGGTATAAGCTCTGCTCCATGACTCATTGAGAGATGGTGGGTCTGACACCTGGTATCCCCACCTGGGACTGGGTTCCCCTCACCTCACATCTTCCCTGATTCCCAGAGACTGGGCTAGGGGTGGCTGGTTAGCCTTGCCAGCCATGGCAGCAGTGTTTGTGGGGAGGGGTGGATAATAAATTCACTCCGGTCCCTGGGGCCCAGCCTCTGTGTGTCCCAGGTGCTGCTCTCTCTGGGCCTCAGGAGATGTATTGTGCTCTCACCTCTCAAGTTCTCCAGGACAGAGCCTCAGCCCTCAGGCCGTGTCCCTGAGAATCCCGTGAGTGGGAGAGCTGTGGATTAGGATGGGAGGAGGGGGAAAGCTGGCCCCAAAGAAACTGATAACCCCTGAAAGTGCTGTGTTGTTTTAAAGAGTGACTTTGGAATTTGATTCTAAGTCACTGGCCTTTTTCATGTGCCCCCTGGAAGGCCAGTCAGGGTTTGATGGAAAGCGTCCCTCTGTTGGAGCTCCCATGTGAACTGGACTCTGTGTCTGCCCACAGGAGGGCAGGGGGCAGGCTTTGGTCTTCAGAGGAGTATAAAGGTGGATTAGCATCACTAACTGAGCACTCTGGACATGGATCATTTGAGTGGGCGCAAAGAAATCCTTGCAAGGTCATTCTCTTTCATCTTTTCCATCTCCTGCCTTTGGTGAAGATAGCGCCCAGACTCCTAGGATAAACTCTTGTCTTTAGACTGTCCAGGGTCAGGTCAGAGGTGGTCATGTGCCTGCCTGTGTGCACATGGCTAAGCCACATCTGGCAGTTGTTTCTGGCAGCTGCCACCTCTGGCCTTGGCCCCTGGCTGACCCCACTGTGCCGGACACCTGGAGAGGTCCTCCCGGCCCTCTGGGGCTCAGCCTTGTGCCTCACGCTCCGCTCCGGCTCCCTGGCACCTTGGGGTTCATTAGGAACAAGAACAACAAGCAGAGAGTGACTTTGTACTGCCCAACAGGCTTTCATCCTGAGAGCTCAAAGCACTTCACACCAAGACTCATCAGTCCTCAGCCGAGGTCCCAGGTACCCAGTGATGGGGATGATGGGATGGAGAGCCCTATCTTTTCCAGATAGGGCAGCAGTGGGGCTGGGAGCAAACAGGGAGTCATCTATGGTGGGAAATCAGGTGGCCAGTAGGTCTGTGATAGAAGTAAAACTGGACTGAGGGCTTCAGGCTGCAAACAAAAGGGAGAGTCTCCCTTAAGAGACTATGAGCTGGGCCCTTCTTTCTCTCAGGCCCTCTGGTCTGTGTGCTCTGTGAGCTGCTGGAGAAGAAGCAGCAGCTTCTTGGGAATAGAAGGCCTTGGACTCAGATATTGATGAGGATCCCTAAGTGATCCCCACTTCTGCCCTTGGTGCTGGGTGCTCCAGGGCTGGCTGACCTTAGGGTGGTGTCAAAGTGAGGATATATGGAGGAAAAAGTGCTGGTCCAGCATGGGCAGGCCCTCGCCCTGGCCTTGGGGGTGGGGTCTCCAGTGGGGCTACCAGGCCTGGTCCTAGCCCCACTCAGCCTTCCGAGTCTGCGCTGCATTCAGACCCACAAGGCTGGCCTGATGGACAGTTGGTATAGGGAAGAGATATGTTTTGCTCTTGTGTTTTTTTAGTGCTGGCAGAGCACTGCCAAAACTTGAGACCTGGGGCCCATCAGAACCATGGTCATTATGTTTTCCCACCGTGTTTGAGCCTGCAGCACAGCATTTATAACTTTGCAGAGGTGAGTGAAGCATATGCTCTCCATCTTCCTCCAGCCTAGGCCTGGCCTGCCACCCATCCATTCACCAATACCTCCAGGTCCTGGCCACATGGGAACTATACAGATGGCATGTGCTTTCATTCCTGTAGTGTGTTCAGTTCTGCAAACATTCATGGAGCTCCTCCTATGTGAGTAAACCAGAACCCCTGCCCTCAGGAAGCTCAGACAGAGCTTTACACAAATGCCTGTGATTGGAACCAAGTGTAAAGCCAGAAATACATGCAGTGTATGATAAGGAAAGGGAGGGAGGGTGTAGGGAGGGCTTCACAGAGAAAGTGACATTTGAGCTGAGCCTGGATGGTGAGCTGGAATTCACCAGGGTGAGAAAGGACCTTCCAAGAGGTAGGAACATTTCATGCCCAACTTGCTTACAGCTGGGTGGTGGGAGAGGAGCAGGGAGAAAGGAGGCAGCTGTCATTTACTGAGCACTTACTACGTGTCAGTCCTGATTCTATGAAGTTTAGGTACTATTTTATCATCCCCTTTACAGATGAGAAAACTGAGGCAGAGAGAGAGTCCATGACTTGCCTGTGATCCAGCATGACTTAGTGGCAGCATGGAGTTGTAGGCTTAGGTCTGCCCCCTGCCCTGCCTTGCGATGCACAGT